TAAATTATTGCTGGCAATTCCAGCAATTACCTAAATAGAAGACAAAAAGAGGCCAATAAGATAGCCATAAGACTGCTTTGCTGAGAGCTGAGAAATGCAATTTCACACACACATATCATTGAGATAGAACAAATTAGATACAAAATAGACACAAAAACACAGTTCAGATGAAAGTACTTGCTTAAATTATTTCAATTATTTCATTAAAAAAAGAAAAAAAGAAACAACCAACTAAACAGCCCTTGGTGCTAGGGCAACACTTTTTCTTACATCAGCTACAAACTTGCTCTAGCCTCAGTCCACCCCAGTAATTGTTAGAAGAGCCAGATCTTCAAGATGACAAACATATCCAACAAACCTTCTGCCTCCTATTTTCCCAACAATAAAAGCTCTGTGAGGTGGGTTGGGCCAAGAGAGGGTGACTGGCCCAAAGTCACCAAACTGGCTTTTATGGCAAAACTGAAATTGGAACTCATAGTCTTCTGCTTTCTAGTCTTAACCACTAGACCAAACTGGCTCAGTTCATTTATATCCATTCAAAAAATACTGTGTAATATTTATTTTTACATCAAAAAGAATGTTAGATAACAATTAGTGTGCAATTTCTTGCTGTAAGGAATGAAATACAGGTATGAGAAAATTATATTTTAAACTTGCATTGCTATATATGAGGCTAAAAACCAGATGATGGCTAATATATGTTGAGGCTGATCATTGATTGTCGAGATAGCATATGTCCCTTTGGATGCAATCCAAGGAATAAGAATTAATCACGACATTAAGAACTTGTAGATGCTAGGCTTCCGGTTTGCGATCACGGCGCTGGCAGACGTTCAAAAAGAGCGCTTTCTCCGCCGTCCGGTTTTCCTTTGTCAGAAGACCCTGAAAAGGGTCGAAAGTCACCCTGGAGGGGCAACCACTGTGAGGAGGAGCCTCAACAGATTGCGGAAGGGCGGTAGCCCTTTCATTTGATCCGAGGCAGCTCTTTTGGACTGACGAAGAAAAGATCGGCCATTAATATGGCCGATCACTAAGCTGTATCAGTCGAAAGCCAAAAGCACTACCAAGCACAACGAAAGCAACACGGAGGAATTGGGTGAGCCTTTGGAAATTTCTTCCCCCTTCTTATCTTCTGCCTATTCTGGGAATATAAAGCTTTGGGGGGAAAAAGAACAACTAAACTAAACAACTAAATAATTGGACTTGCAACTTTTGGATATTTGGGGTCCCAAAAGGTTCCTATTTCTACAGAGACCTATTACCTTACCTATCTGCTAAGTTGAAAAAAAAGAATATATATTTTTAAACTGGATAAAAGCCTAACTTGAGTTTGGAAAAAGACTTTACATGTTACCGGGGTCATCTTGTGATGAAATTTGGTACAGCAAGTTAATTTCTTTTTGACTGGGAGACTTGTGAGACTAAGATTTGTCCTTGGCACTATCAAAAAAGATAAGAATTTGAAACAGCTGGGTGGTGAAAACAACTCTTTATAGTGGAGGTGGACGTTTACTGACCTTTATCAAAAATAGCCTCCACTAAATGACTATCTGTAAACACCATAGAAATGGAGGAATACTACCCACAATACTTGAAAAAATCCTTGAGGCTACTGAGCTAATGAATTCCAGACTGAAAAATAAAGGCGCCACCTTAAAGCTACAAAATGCAGCCCAGATTTCAACTGATGAACTTACAATCCAAAATGCAACAGAAGAGGAAGTAATTAATATTAAAGTGGACTTTAAAGAATACCAGCTACAACCTACTGAGAACCCAGATAACCAAACCTTGATCTTAACTAAAATGGATTCACTGGCTGAAAGGGAAGTGCTTTTATGGCAGCCGATGTGGTATAGAAAAAAAACCCAGAATTAGACTCAAAAAGAAATTCAAAACTGTCTAATGGATTAAAAGGCAATGCTGGTTTTATGGTTTGTTTTAAGGATAATGATTTTAGAGTTTGAAGTAAGAAAAATATAATTATATACGTGTGTGTTTAAATTAGTTTGATGATCCTTTTGTTTTTTATGGAAATTTACCTGGCATAGAAATATGAAAGTTAAAAGTGGAGTGAAAAAAGAAATCTGGCTTTATGGATTGTATTAAGGATAAAAAAATATATAATTATATATATATTATATATACATATATGTTTAAAGAGATTAAGAATGTATTTTTTGGAATAATAGATTGATTTTGAGGGAAATTATGTATTGGAATTGAAAAAACATTGAATTTTTAGACTGGAACTCTGAAGTGCTTAAATTAACTAGGTGATTTATGTATATAATAATATGGTCTGATAAGGTATGACAAGTAATTGGATGCAATGTGAAGTTGGTCTAATGAATTGAAATAAATTAAGATTTAACATTTTTTTTAACTAAGTTAGTACCGTATTTATCGGCGTATAACACGCACAGGCGTATAACACGCACCTTCATTTTAAGAGGGAAATTTCAGGAAAAAAACTTAAAGGTGGGGCCGGGCGGCGGAGAGCTTATATCGGCGTATAACACGCACACATCATTTGCCCCCTATTTTCAGGGGGAAAAAGTGCGTGTTATACGCCAATAAATACGGTAATTATTGGAAAAGAAATAAATGAGATTGGTGATAAAAACAAGGATGAGAGGGATTAAGAGTATGAATATATTTGGAAAAGATACTAGAAGTGATAATTTGTTGAAGTAAAACAATATTTGATTATGGTAATTGTAAACTGATAAAGCTTTAAAACAGGTTTAGTCGTATAGAAATTTAAGCTAGAAATGGAATATATTAAATCCATTATGTTATTTGAGGGAAATAGAGAGATGACAATAAATGTACTAAGTTGAGTTGTCTATGTATGTTTTTACTTTGGAATGTTTGTTCACCCAAACACCACAGTGTGTTTTAAGTACTTTCTGTTAAAGTTGAAAAACCAATAAAATATGTTTGAAAAAAAAATCTCATTTAATGGGCTAAGGAGATTTTAAAAGATACTAATCGATTTAATATTTACTATTTAGACTTATAAGGGAAATAAAAAATAGTCACTAGAATAATAGTTTTGAATTATAATATAGAAGTTGGATTGAGATGATAAAGGTTATTTTATCGGTAAATGATGAGGTATTAGGACGAGAAATAGAATATATTTGTGAAATAAAGTAAGAATTTATCTGAGTAAATAATAAGTGTATTTTAGACACGACAACTATTTTGTAATGAACTAAGGGAACTTTGGGCTACCCGAAATCTAAATACTATGGATATTAAGCCAACTGGAATACTGTAATTGAAATTAGATAAAACTTAAAAACAGGACATGGAGGCATATAAGTTAAAATATTTGGATAAATGTCTTAACTGATTGAGTTATAACTAGCAATGTATTAATTTAAATGTGATATAATAACCAAGGGAAATAGAGAGGAAATTTTTGATGATGTAACCTGACATATGTACTGTATGAAAGAGCTTGTTATTGGATTGCCCAATCACCATGTTGCTTCCTTAATACTTGGACTTTTGTAAAATTGGAAAATTAAAAAAAACTTGTTTTTTTTAAAAGAATTTGTAGATGCTCATAAGAATGAACAATGTTCAATGGAATAATAAATCTACACTTCATAAAGAAACCAGATGGAAAGCCAATAAGTTGTTATTTATAAAATGTTTACTTTATTCTTTTTTCCCAATAAAGAGCCAGAGGAAGCAGAGTTTTCAGCAACCTGGTCACCCATTTTTCAAAATTCTTTGTTTTTTATAATTATAACAATTTTTGAGAATTTCCATACCCACTTTTCTGTACATTTCTTATGTTACATCACATTCTTAATAGTAAGGTATGAATACAAAAATTCCTCTCTTTAATTTAATAAAGAAATATTTTATAAATTATATTTCACTGCATGCAAATAGTTATGTCTATGCGATCCCCTTAGGTAAAGTTTTTTGGGCAATGGAGCATAAGTGGGACAAACTTCTTTTTCCAATTATTAAGTATATTTTTAACCTTGCATGGCTGTGTCAGGGGCTACCTCTGCTCTCCCCTTATGCGCATGTACAGCCATTTTGCACTTTTCTCATAGTGAACTGAAGCATCAATTCCTGCACATGGAAATCAGGAGTGCAGCCAGTGATGGGATTCAAATGCCTGAACAACCAGTTCTCTGAATGGATGCCACTTCCAGAACTCCATTCTGAGCCGGGGAGGCCTCCCAGGCCCAGAACTGTCCACTGGAAGTAGCATCCACACACTTCCAATGGGCCATTGTCGGCCTGGGAGGCCTTCCCCAGGCCTTCAAGACTCAAAATGGACCTCCAGAAATGGCATCCACACTATTCTGGTGGACCATTCTGGGCCTGGGGAACCTCTGAGGCTCAGAACGGACTTCTGGTAGTGGCATCCATGCACTTCTGGTAGGCCGTTCCTGGCCTGGAGGCTACCCCGCTCAGAATGGACTTCCAGAAGTGGTGTCCACACAATTCTGGTGGTCTGTTCTGGGCCTGGGAGGCCTCCCTGGCTTATAAAGGACTTCCAGAAGTTGTGTCCATGCACTTCTGGCCGTCCATTCTGGGCCTTGCGAAAAAGGGTTAGCACATCAGCCGGTTCGCCAAAATCAACAAAAAATTAGCTACTGGTTCAACTGGCTGAATCCCACCCCTGAGTGCAGCAGTTGATAAAGCAACCTTATGAATCTGGAGAAAATGATATTGTTTTTGTTATGTATTGATATTGACTGTTAATGTGTTCGGGTAAATGTGTCTCCAAATGTTTTGGAGGGAAACTGAAGTTTATATTAGAGTGGTAAACCAGCTCTAAATCTGATTGGTCACTGCTTAGTGGCAGCATGTATAAATATTTGTCAGTTTGTCAGTTGAGTTCAGTTCTGTTATTCTTGCAATTAAACATGATGCATTAGATCGGTCTGGTCAATGCCTTTAAGAATTCATTACATAACAGTTTTCCTAAGTATAAACTAGACAAAAGACATTCTGAATCAAAATCAGAATTGTTTTTTCTTCATTAATTTTTTCCTGCTGTTCAAGTCAGGCCTTAAAACAATTACATAACATTTGGGAAGAAAGATGCAGCCCAGCAAACCAGCACTAGAGGCCAAGATGGAAAATATCTCCACTGCCACCATGTACTTCCCCTTGGTGCTCAGGTAGGTTGGAACAAAGGATATCCAAACACTGCAGAAGACCAACATGCTGAAAGTGATGAACTTGGCTTCATTGAATGTATCAGGTAATTTCCTGGCCATGAAGGCAACTATGAAACTAATAACAGCCAAGAAACCCAAATAGCTTAGGACACTGTAGAACATAGTCACAGAGCCTTGATTGCACTGCAGAATAATTTCTTCAATTACTGAATCCATGTCAGTGTCTGGGAATGGGGGAGAGGTTATTAGCCATGTCATGCAAATACCTATTTGAATAAGAGAACAGGAAATGATAATGGAGTTGGACAGTCTCTTTCCCACAAACATTTGCATCTTGGATCCTGGCTTGGTGGCCAGGAAAGCCAGAACCACTGTGACGGTTTTTGCCAACACTGAAGAAACTGACACTGCAAAGATAACCCCAAAAGTCATTTGTTGTAGGAGACATACTATCTTCTCAGGATGACCAATGAATAGGAATGCAGAAAGGAAGCAGAGCAGGAGGGAGATGAGGAGAATGTAAGTGAGGTCTCGGTTATTGGCAATGATGATAGGAGTGTTGTGGTTCTTCACAAATATTCCAAGCACCATCACCGAGAGCAAAGACAACAAAAGAACAAAGAAGACTAAACTGATTCCCAAAGGTTCCTTATAAGACAAAAATGTCAACATTTTAGGAATACAGGAATCCTGATTCTTGTTTGGATAGCTTCCTTCTGGACACAAGTAACAATCATTTGTATCTGAAAAATAAAATGATCTGAGGACATTCTTGAAAATATAGAGTAAGGTACATCTTAATAATATACTTTACATTTTTTAAAGAATACTTAGAATGTTTTTATTCCCTGTTAATTAAGCACTTGAATATTAGTCTGTAGATTTCAAGAATGCTGTAACTGTTTAAACAATCTGTTTATTCACAGTGATATTATATCTTTAGAATTCTCATTCTTTATATAATTATATAATTGTTCATATAATTTATGTATTTGAACTGGATAGGATAATAATAATCACCTGATTTGTCTTTAGCAAGTTCTAATACTACAATACTATATCAGTCCTATTTAAAATAATGGACAAATACTGGTTAAAAAAGAGTCTTCAGGTATACAAGGTTGCATTTGGAAACAGCTACCATTTTGTGAGATAAATGCCAACATAACATTTCTTACCCTCCTTCTCTGAAATCTTTCCATCTGGGCATGGAATGCAGTCATAGCAACAAAAGGGCTCCCCTTCCTTCATTTTCTTGCTGGCACCAGGACGGCAACACTCAGTACATATAGAAACAGGCTGGGACTGAAGCAGAAACAACAAACAAACAAACAAACAACAATTCTGAGGTATCCTGTCAGTCTGAGTTAGGATATAATTAATGATATATTTTAATGTGTATGCTGCCCAACTCAATGGCTCATAACCATCAAACAAAGAAATTACAATGAAATTAATATGCATTTAATTTATAAAGTTGTTTAAATGCTGTCTTCTACTTATGTAGACACTGGCCTACTATGCACAGTGTTGTCTAACCCTAACCCTAACCGTAACCTTAACCCTAACCCTTTTTCAAATATAAATAACTGTTACTGTGACAATCTAGTGTGTTCAACTTTGCAACTGTTTTTAAAAAAAACTGTAGCAGCCATTCATGAAATTGCTCCATTGATCATTTTCAGTTACATAAAAATAATGTTTAACCCAGTCTTCTGGCTGATTCATCAAATATATGCCAATCTCAAGCCCGGATAAATGGGGAAGGCTAGGGAAACTAATGGTGAACTACCTGTAAAAAAAATCTCATTTTTATGATTTTTTATGACAATAACTCAACATGACTCAAATATGGATACCAACAGTGGACCCTCCTGGCTATAGAGAAGAGCAATGGCTACCTTTTAGTAGTCAGGGATTTTATGACTGTTGAAGGAAAGACTTCAGCCAGCCAACAATTGATGGAAGATGGCAGGAAGGGTCATTCTAAGGACATGTTTGCTTGAGTGAAAATGATGTGATCCAGTTTTACACCAAGGTAAGGAACTTTTAAAGACTGCAATGGGAATGTACTTAGTGATCAACAGAAGATCAAGAACAGGTAGAAAAGATACACAGAAGGCCTCTATAGCAATTTGACTTACTATCAAGATGACAATGATGACAGCCCAATTAATCATGAAAGAAGAAGTAGAATAAGACATGGTGAAATTGCTGAAGTGAAAGATCCAGGTATTGATAGGGCTCCCTGTGTCAAGAGATATGGTCTATCTGTCAATGGCATCAGGACTGCAAAAGATCTGCTTTTATCCCACTAGTAAAGAAACATGAGGCCAGAGACTGCTCCAACTATTCACGATCGCATTGATTTCTCATTCAAGTAAGATTCTGCTAAAGATAATTAAACAGAGGCTACAGAATGTCATTGATCAATAATTACTTGATGTACAAGTTGGCTTTAGAAAGGAGTGCAGCACTCAAGATCATACTGCCAATATTAGATGGCTCATGGAAAAGGCATGTGAATATCAAAAGGATCTATATATGTGTTTTATTGCTTACAAAAAAGCATTTGATTGTGTAGAACGCTATAGGCAATGGGTGGCTTTGCATGATCAAGTGCAACCCATTTGATCAGACTCATCAGATCACTGTACACTTATCAGGAGGCAACAATGAGAACATTCTATGGTGACACAGATTGGTTCAGGATCAGTAAGAGAGTTAGACAGAGATGTATTCTATCACCATTTTTGTTCAATTTGTATGCTGAAGTGATCATGTGGAAATTTGATTTGGAACTGCCTGATGTTGGAATGAAGACTGAGGGAAGAACCACAAATAATTTGAAATACTCAAATGATACAACACTATTGGCTGGAAATAAGGAAGACCTGGAAAAATGATCTGGAAAATCAAGGACAAAAGTGAAAAAGTAGAACCGAATCTTAATATCAGGAAAACAAAGACAATGACAACAGCTGCAGATGGACCTGAGATGTTCAAAGTCAACCAAGATGAAATTGAATTAATTCAAGAATTTATCTTCCTTGGATCAAAATTTGCTCACAATGGCAGTTCTCTTGAAATCAAACAAAGGATAACCTTAGGTCATAGTTAACATGAATAAGATCTGAAAAAGCAGAGATATTGATATAAACATAAAAGGCAGCTAGCTAGAGCAATAGTCCTTCCTAAAGTGATGTATGGGTGTGAGAGTTAGATACTAAGAATGGCTAATAAAAGAAGATTTGACACCTTTGAACTGTGGTGCTGGCATAAATTATTGCATATGTCATGAACAGCCTGAGCAACCAACAGAGAAGTGCTAAATTGTATAAAACCAGACACATCATTAGAAGCCAAAATCACAAGAATACATCTGATTTACTTTGGCAATGTCATGCATGCAAATTCATTGGAGAAGTCAATGATGCTAGGAATGGTTAGTGGAACAAGAAGAAGGGACAAGCAAAGAGCATGCTGGCTTGATAACATCAAAACTGATACCAAGATGAACATCCAACAGTTGAAGGAAGCTGTGTTTGAAAAGATAGCATAGAGAACATTTGCTTATAAAGTTGCCAAGAGTTGGACAAGACTGAATATTTAAAACAACAACAAAAATATTTAACCCATTATATACAATGTATAAATCTTCAGCTTTACCTACTCTATTACAGTGAGAAAATTGTAAGCACTAAAAGTAGTCCTTGACTTACAGCCAGTTGTTTAAAGACTGTTTGAAGTTATGATGATGCTGACTTATAATCAGTTCTTGCACTTACCATGTAACAGCACCCCCATGGTCATGTGATCAAACTTTAGGCACTTGGAAATTGGCATATATTTATGATGACTGAAGTGTCTCACAGACACATGACCAACTAGCCAGCTTCCAACATGCAAAGTCAATTTGGAAGCTATATTTGCTTAATGACTGTGTGTTTCACATAATGACCATGGCAAAAAAGGTCATAAAATCAGCAGAAGGTGCAGAAGCAAAAAAGAACAATTTAAAGAATCTATAGAGTTATAAGCTTGAAGAATTTAAGAAGTGCTTTTAATATAAAAATATTTAATATGCATTCAGTTAGCAAGTTATTAGATGGTAACTTTGTGTTTTATTAATATTTGTTCACTGCTTTACAAAAATAGGTATCAGATTTCCAACTCTATCATATGCATAAAAATCTTACAACAGGATCTACTAAGTTATTCCTTTCAGCTATTTTTGAATGTAAACTAGAATAAGGCATTCATGAAGTTGCTATACTGGCCATATTCTGTTGTATTAAAATAATGGGTCTGTACATATGTTGTTCATAGTATGTTTAGGTTGTGTCATGTATGTGTTTCACTTTGAGAGCGGGCAACTAAATTTCATTTTTGATGTGTGCCATTGTGCCCATGGTAAAAAAAATGTCAATAAAGGTTATCTTATCTTATCTTGTCTTGTCTTGTCTTGTCTTGTCTTGTCTTGTCTTGTCTTGTCTTGTCTCTTCTCTTCTCTTCTCTTGTCTCATCTCGTCTCGTCTCATCTCGTCTCATCTCGCCTCGCCTCATCTCATCTCATCTCATCTCATCTTATCTTATCTTATCTTATCTTGAGATGAGTAGAAAAAAATTGGCATTTTTTGTTTGTTTTTTTAACCCTTCTAAAATTGTCTTTCAATTGGTTCTGTTAAACTTTGATATTCTCCAAAGCACTTGAAGGAAGGACAAGAAATAACAGATTTTTGTTGTTAATTGCAAAGTCGTGTCCGACCCATCGCAACCCCATAGACAACATTCCTACAGGTCTTCCTGTCCTCTACCATCTTCTGGAGTCCATTTAAGTTCACACCTACTGCTTCAGTGACTCCATCCAGTCACCTCATTCTCTGTCGTCCCCTTCTTCTATTGCCCTCAATATTTCCCAGCATTAGGCCCTTCTCCAGTGAGTCCAGTGAGACCCAAGTGCTGAACTACATGAAGGAATACGGCTGCAACATTCCAAGTTACTGAGCCAGGGTTCGCATTGTGCAAGCAGCCCAAGATAGCACTGTGGCAGACTGGGTCATGGACCTACATGACACAGATGCCCCAGAGCTGCAAAACTTCAATCAATTCATGACAGCCCTTGGGCATCAATTTGAAGACCACCTAGCTGACCGGAAAGAACAGGAACTAATAAAGACAGTGAAAGAAGGTAGGCTACCCATAGCAGAATATACCCAGGATTTCAAAGCTCTGGCCAGCAAACTGAATTGGCTGGAAGACATCCTGATCAGCCATTTCAAGGACGGGTTAAACTATGATCTCTATGAGGCTTGCATCCCCCGGTAGACCCCTACTGGCTGCAGGACTGGTACATCCTGGTAGAGGAGGCAGAGATCGACCTAGCAAAGAGGCAACGATGAGGGGAGAGATCATGGGGAAGATCACCATCAGAGCCAACTTGAGAGTCATTGAAGCAAGCACCAGCAACCAAAAGAACTTCAGGATGTGGGAAAGAGGGACACCACATAGCTGAGTGCTGCTCACTCACCCCTGCATTGGCCCAATGAGAAAAGGAAACTCTGACCAATCCAAGAGGAAAATCCAACTCATCGGACAACAACCCAGAGAACAAACCCTGGTAAGTGAACCCATTGCACCCCTCACCCAGCCAGTAGAATTATTAGCCCCCAGCATGCCTGAGAAAGTGAACATCAGGGCATTAATTGACTCTGGCTGCACCCGCTGCCTCATAAGCCCAATGTTAGTGGGGAATTTAGGAATTCCGGTGAGGAGGCTGAAGAAACCAATTTCTTTTGATCAATTAGATGGGTCCATAGCAGGAGGGATGCCCACTACACTAGCCACACTGCCAGTTCAACTCACCATAGGGGACTACGTAGAGATTATAACATTTGTGGTGACCCCTGGCATGGAATGCCCCTTATCCTGGGCATGGCATGGCTGGCCAAGTGGAACCCACAGGTGGACTGGAGAATGGTAGAACTCAGGTTCCCAAAAGGGGAATCAGCCAAGGGACCAGACCAGCCCTGAAACGGTGGAACCCCAGCAGAGAAAGCTGTGGGGGAAAGGAACTACCAGAGATACTGGAGGAATATAAAGACCTGGCTGAAGTATTCAGCGAGGAAAGATCCAGTGAACTTCCCCCTCACCAGGCCATGGACTGTTCTATAGAAATCTGCCCAGGTATAAAACTCCCCAAACCCAAATTGAGCCCACAAGAATTGGAGGAGATACAGAAATTCATAGTGATCTGGAAATGGGGGAGATAATTACAGAGCCCTTGTCATGGTCAGATCACGCAC